GGCGGGTCTCAACCCCGCGGGCTCAGGCAATCCACTCACCTCAGCCTCCCAAAGGTGCGGTATTACAGGCTGAGCCACCAAGCCTGGCTAGAATGTGCTATTTTAAAAATGTGCCCGAGTGATTCTGTTGCCCTTGGCCATTAAAAAAGTCACTGAATCAGACAAGGCTTGGTTTGACACAGTCTGCCACTTTCTAACTGCATGGCCTTAGGGAGGTAATTTCTTAAAGTCTCTGAGCCTGTTTCCATATTAGCAGATAACAGGAATAACACTCTCATGGAGTTATAGAAATTAGGTAACGGATGTAAAGTTCTTGGCATAATGCAATTGCTCTATTCGGCTGCCATTGTTATTTTGTTGTGCAGCCAGCATGGTGGTGTGTGCCTGTAGTCCCAGCTATCCAGGAGGCCGAGGTGAGAGGCTTGCTTTAGCCCAGGAGCTCAAGGCTGCAGTGAGCTATGATCGTACCACTGCACTCCAGCCTGGACAACAGAGCAAGACCCTATCTCTTTAAAAATATATATTATTTTCTTGTTAGACCCAGGCAGGAGAAGTTTTTTCTCCATGGAAGACCACTCTCAGGAATCCCCTCGAAGTGAGGGTCTGATCATCATATGGGAGCTGGTTAAAAATGTAGAATCTCACTGGGCCGGGGCTCACACCTATAATCTCAGCACTTTGGGAGGCTGAGGCGAGAGGATTGCCTGAGCCCAGGGGTTTGAGATCAGCCTGGGAAACTTGGTGAGACATCTCTACAATAAATAAAAAAATCAGCCGGACATGGTGGCGTGTGTGTGTAGTCCCAGCTACTTGGAAGGCTGAGGTGGAAGAATAGCTTGCAGATTGCAGGTCGAAGCTGCAGTGGCTGTGAGTGTGCCACTGCACTCCAGACTGGGCAACCGTGTGAGACTCGACTCCAGGAAACAAAAAGCAGACTCTCACCCTAGATCTACTGCACATTCACAAGATCCCAAGGTGATTTATCTGCACACTCAAGTTGGAAAAGCAGTGTTGAAGTCACATGTGCTGCTCTTTCTGTCTCCAGCACGGGAGGCTGCTGGGGAGGTGTGTGTGCCCTGCGGCCATCAGAAGAACTCTGCGTTGGTGACAGCGGCTCTTCCTCCTTCTGGTGCAGGGAGGAGCCCAGCGCACTCCAGCTGGGAAGGTTCAGCGGGTTCCCAAGCCCCCACTCGACCAGGAGCGCCAACAAGTGCCCGGGGAGTCAGGATGGAGCCAAACCCCACCTTGCTTGCTCCTCAGGCCCGAACCTGCTCCCACCTGGCAGAGCCCTGTAGGAAGGGCGCCAGAAGCCCGTGTCCCCAAGAGCTGGGGGAAGATTACCCCTTTCGCTGGAGCCAGGTGCCCAGCACGAGCCTGGCCGACCCCAGCTGCCTTGAGGACGAGCATGTCCAGGCCAAGAGGGCCAGGGTGGAGACCATCGTCCGAGGCATGTGTCTCTCCCCAAGCCTTCAGTCAGGCAGCGCCCCGGTGGGGGCTAGCCCAGGCTGCCCAGGGAAGGCCCGGGACCGGAGGAGGAAGCAGCGCCTCCCCACGCAGCAAGGCCCCCCGACAGCCCCGGGCAGTGGGAGGAGGCGCCCTGGGGTGAGAGCCGAGCTCCACCTGCTGCAGCAGCAGTTGGAACGCCTGCAAGGGCAGGTCCTGCAGGCCGAGAGGGGACCAGGTCCCCGGAGCGTCCAGCAGAGGGGTGGTTGCGGGCCCCACGTCCTCCCCTGCCAGGGTCCCCACAAGGACCTGTCTGGGGCAGATGGGCACGGAGTGTCTGAGGACCAACACTCACCCGCGCAGCCTGGGTTCCTTCCTTCCCCAGTGTGGGCTTCCCTGGAGATTCTAAGGCGGGAACTGACCAGGGCCGTGTCCCAGGCTGTGGACTCTGTACTACAAGAGGTATTGCTGGACCCACCAGGCCCCCCGGCCAGGCTGGGCAGAAGCTTCCAGGGGCTGCTGGAGGGCCACAGTGAGCCCTCGCCCCCTGGGGTGAGTGCCTGCAAAGACGCGCTCCCTCTGGCTGTCTTGCCTGGGAGGGTCCAGCCACAAATTGGGGTCCCACTGGGAAACCTCCCAAAGACCAAGCCTCTAGATTCTCCCAGGTACCCCATCCCTCCACAAATGAACCTCAGACGCTACCAGAGTGCCCCAGCAAACTGTCCCTTAACTGCGCCTTCCCACATTCAGGAAAACCAGATTGCTAGCCAGCTACTGGGCCACGGGCCCAATAGCCACTGGGGCGGTGGTGGTCCCCAGGACTCACCTTCGCAAAGTCACCCGTCCTCAGAGACTGCCCTGAGGCCCTGGGGAGCAGCCAGGCTGCAGCCATCGCTTGTAAGCCCGGCACGGTGCCCCCTGCCTCTCGCCTCTGCCCCTCTGGAACGTCTGCCCCTCTTGCCCTCTGTGAAGATGGAGCAGAGCGGCCGGCGGGCTGTCCTGGAGACCCTTCCTTTCTCTTCGGTCCACATATCCTTTACTGGAAACTGAAGTTGTCATGGTCACTGCCCAGACAAACAGGAAACCGAAAGCTGAGGAGGGGTGGGGACTAATAGGACTAATACCTACACTGCACGAGGGACAGCTTTGAGTCCCTCGATCCTTATAAAGTGCTTCTGGGCTTCCCTCCCTGTGGCTCACAGCTTTTTAAAAAAAGTTTTTTAAAGATGTGGGGTACAGCTGGGCTCGGTAACTCAGCCTGTAATCCTGCGCCTTTGGGAGGCTGAGGTGAGTGGATTGTCTGAGCCTGCGGGTTTGAGACCCGCCAGGGCAGCGAGACCTCATCTCTACAATAAATCAAAAAATCAGCCAGGCGTGGTAGCGCGTGCCTGTAGTTCCAGCTGCTTGGAAGGCTGAGGCGGAAGGATCGCCGGAGCCCAGCAGGTCGAGGCTGCGGTGGCCAGAAGCGGCCACTGCACTCCAGTCTGGGTGACAGAGTGAGACTCCAACTCAGAAAAAAAAAAAAAAAAAGATGTGGGGTACCATTCAGGGTTAGGTATACAAATAGTTATACAAATGTCTATTATGCAGGCAGGCAACCTTGTTGAAGAGGTGTGCCTACCCCCCCGCCCCCCGCCCCACAGTTTCCCACTACTGCCAATCCTGCCCCCACCCACAGCTTTTAAAGTGGTGACACATTCTGGAACCTAAGACCTGGAAAGGCTCATTTTTCTTCTGTGAACCATCAGGTCTCACCAGTACCGACTAATTTCTTTGGCCCTAAAAGGGTTTTGTTTTTAAACTCAAACGGGCTTCCAACATTTGATAAATGGCCCATGGAAGAAAGGACCCTAGCTCTGGCTGTTGGCTGCCCATGGACCTAGGCACTTGAGGTCACCTCCCCACCCTGTGGCTCTGCAGGCAAAAAGCTACACTGTCTAGATCATTTGTGGGCAGCATGGGAGGGACCAGCACCTTCCGGGGCAGGTGGGAGAGGAGTTGTCCTCAGGGTCTAGACCCTGAGAGGCAGGCTTCAGTTGAAGGAGCAGCTTCCAAGCCGCAGCTGAGAGGGCTGGGGACTGGGACCGGGCACAGAGGGAGAGACCCCTCATGAGGAAGCCTGAGAGGCCCAGGCTGGTCGGAGTGGTCTGGATCTCCTTGCACCATCTTTGCAACCCTCAGGCAGACCCCACCCTCTTTAGGTGTTTCCCAGAGTAACTCTCAGTATGTGTGTGTGTGTGTGTGTGTGTGTATTTTTGTTGTTGTTTTTTTTGAGTTGGAGTCTCTGTCACTCAGACTGGAGGGCAGTAGCATGCTCCTGGCCAGCGCAGCCTCGACCTGCTGGGCTCAGGTGACCCTTCCCCCTAGCCTTCCAAGTAGCTGAAACTATAGGCACACACCACCACGCCCGACTAATTTTTTGATTTCTTGTAGCGATGTGGTCTCGCCAAGTTGCCCAGGCAGGTCTTGAACCCATGGGCTCAGGCATCCTTTCACCTCAGCTTCCCAAAGTGCTGGGATTATAGGCGACCTTCAGGATATTAACAGCTGTTGAAACAGAAGAAAAAGAAGCTTGGGGCTGGGTGCAGTGGCTCACGCCTGAAAATCCAGCACTTTGGGAGGCTGAGGTAGGAGGACCACTTGAGGCCAGGAATTTGAGATCAGCCTGGGCAATACAGTGAGACCTCATCTCTAAAAAAACAAGAAGAAGAAAACACAGTAGCTTGGGTAAAATACTGGGTTGGTTTCTCTGCTGCAGGGCTTCTCAGAGCTTTTAACTTGTGGCAGGCCCATGGAAGTTCTAAGAGGAGCATGTAAGCAGCCCAAGTCATGGCCAAAGACACTTAGCATCTTGCAGGACTGGTTCGCAGAACGTGTTTTGGGTGTTGCTTTCTTAGCGAGCTGTGTCGGCGCTGCGGCTTCTCGCACGCGGCCTTGAGCCGACGAGGTTGGTGTCTGTGGAGTCGCATAAGGAGCAGACCAATCTCGCACAGGCAGCCAGGGAGGGCGGCGGCCGGCTCGTGAGCACGAAGAGCCCGGCCTGTGTCCCGAATGCCACGAGCGCCTCCTGCCGGCCAGGGGTGTGGAAGCACCTACGGCTCCGGGAAGGCCGCACGAGGCCACGAACTCCGGCTCAGGCCTCTTCCCTCGCGCTCCGCCTCCTCGTCGGGCAGGGCGGAGGTCCCAGCTAGATTTCTGTAAGAGAGAGGCTCCGGCCTGGGCCTTTGATCACCGCCGGTTCAGACCCCGCTTTAAGTTCAGGCAGAACCTAAGAGGGCTCAGTCCCCAAGGATGCGCTAACACCTGTTGGCACCGACACGTGCCTGTGCCTGCCCCCTGAAGCAGGGCTCAGGCCTGGAGAGCCTCAGGAGGGTTCACGGCCAGAAAGACTCCAACGCAGCCTGGCTGCGCGGGGGTAGCAGGGCTGCCTTTGGAGTGACTTGGGCCCCAGCGGCATCCCGGCCAGGTGTTCCCTGATTCCTGTGTTCCAGCCCTGGAGATCCATTCCTGGGGACCAAGACCACCACCTGGGAGTAAATGCCAAAGAGCATTCCAGTCAGTGGCATTTGAGAGGAAGGAAGGGCAGGCGTGAAGGCCACAGAAGGGGTGGCATTCACTGAGTGCCTTCTCTGTGGTGGGCACCGCCACTGGCAGTTCACATGCACGTGTCCACCACCACTTGGCCACAGTCCAAAGGCTCTGAAAAGCCCGGTGACTTGCCCCCTAAGATTGATGCCATCTTTTTTGGTGACCTGCACTGATTGGAGGCCTTTAATAGACTTGATCCCACGTAGTAGTCATGCAGTCTGCTGTAGAAATACCAGTGCGTGGGATTCCAGACTGCCCCTCTGCAGACGTTAACCATCGGAGGCTACACACACCACAGTTTTCATAGGTTAACGAGAGTTCTGAAATCTGAACTCCCACTTGTCCCCACATTTGGCTAAGGGCTTCTGGGCCAGTGGTATCTCACAGTCCTCAAGCATCCACTCTAGGATGATGTTTCTGAGATGCAGGGACTTTAGACAAGTGAGGAGTCTTTAGACAAGTGAGGAGCCATGATTCAAACCCAGGACCTGATGGCCAAGCAAAAGTTTTCACCACTATCCTCCACGTTTTAGAAATGAGGCCCCACACAGTTTAGTGGCTTGCCTAAAGTCATACAGCTAGTAGACGGCAAAATCTGAGTCTGAGACTGACTCTTTGGACTCTCCAGACATTTATGAGCCTGTAGAAACAGGGTAAGAAGTAGGGCCAACGTGGCGGGCACAGAGGGCTTTACATAACAGCCTGTGTCCCGGGGCCAGGAGGTTTGGTTCCTTTTGGCTAAATGGATTCATCTATCAGGAAGGCTGAACTGTCTCAAGCTGCAGCTTCCAGACCCAAGGCCCCAGGGTACTCTGTGTGAGCCTCCCACCCCACCTGAGGCTGTGCCTGGGAATGCTAGGCTTGTCTGTGTGAGAATCTTTTTTTTTTTTTTTGAGTACGAGTCCCACTCTGTCACCCAGGCTGGAGTGCAGTGCCATGCTCATGGCCACTGTGGCCACGGTCCACTGAACTCAGGCGATCCTTCCGCCTCAGCCTTCCAAGTAGCTGGAACCACAGACATGTGCCACCACGCCTGGTTAATTTTTTGATTTATTGTAGAGACAAGGTCTCACCAAGTTACCCAGGCTGGTCAGGCATGAGCCACCACGCCCGGCCTGTGTGAAAATCTTTATTTCCCTCCCACCGAGTTTCAGGCAATCACACCAGTCTCCCTGCTCTCATTCAAGGGAAGGACTCCGTTCTCAGAGTAAGGTATGGCTTAAAATATAATGTCCACGTGTGCGTATGGATTAAGTTTGACCATTCACTCAGTTACTCCTTCACCCAACAAACATTTATTGAGCACCTACTATGTCCCTAGCACTGGGCTAAGCACATGAAACACAAAGATGAAAGGGTCCTTGCCCTCAAGGAGCTCACAGTCTAAAAAGGGGACAAATATGCAGTAAAAATTTCAGTGAGCTCACTGCTACAACAGAGGTTTTGTACAAAGAGTCTTGGTAGCCCAGAGAAGGCAAATCTGGCAAGGGAGGGAGAGTGAGTTTCTGAGCTGAGATGGGAAGAACGAGGGGGAGTTCTGCCAGGCCCACGGAGAGCAGGTACAGGCCAACAGGTCCAGCAACTCAAGTGAGGGCAGACGTGAGCTGGTGCTCATCTTGGCTAGGTGCCTGGTGGTGTGGACACTGGACAGGAAGCTCTGAGCGTGAGAGCCAGGAAGGGGACCAACTCCTCTCATTTCACAGATGAGGAAACTGAGACAGAGAGGGGAAGTAAATCTCTACTCGGGGTTTCAAAATGATTTATCTGGAAGAGAACTGCCATCTCTTCCCATCCTATTCTGAAAGTACACAAATAAAAGCAAATTGTACTCAACAGCATATTGCCATGCAACTTTTACACATCGAGATGTTGGGGTTTTTTTTTTGAGTTGGGGTCTCACTCTGTCACCCAGGGTGGAGTACAGTGGCATGATCACAGCTCACGGCAGTCTCCAACTCCTGGGTTCAGGTGATCCTTCTGTGCATGCCATCATGTCCAACTAACTTTTTAAATATTTTGTAGAGACAGAGTTTCACTATGTTGTCCAGGTTGGTTTTGAACTCCTGGCTTCAAGCAATCCTTCTGCCTTGGCCTTTCAAAGTGCTGGGATTACAGGCATGAGCTTCTGTGCCCAGCCTGAAACATTTTTCAAATTCTGTAACTTAACTGTGCCTATATGGTATCCAGGATACCTGACCAGAGTTTCCAGAGACAGAAAAATGGAGCAAATACACCACTCAACCCGACAGAAAATAAGATAGAAACCTTAAGGAATGGGACAACTTGCTATCTGGATAATCTGAGAAAATTATTTGATAAACTGGTGTTTTAAAGTGTTGGTTTTCCTTGACACTGAGATAAATCCAGGAGGGCCTAAACCCTGGTCACTTGAAGAAGGCCAAACTGATGTTTTTCTTCACGCGCTACCCTAGCTCCAGCCTCCTGAAGGCCTATTTCCCTGATGTCCAGGTAAAGTCACTCAGAGTTTCAGCTTCTGCAAAACTCCCAAGTGGCAGTGTGCTTTAACAGCATGAGGCAAGGCTGGGGCCACCACACAGACACGTCAAGCTCTTCTTAGTGTTGCTGATACAATCAGTGTCATTTCCAGGTCTGGGGGGAAGCTGGGCCCAGATGGTCATGGACAGCTTGAGGCTAGGAAGGCTGGTCTCTGAATGTTCAAGCTTCTGAGCTGTAGATGACCCCACACACACATGGGAAGGGAAGGAGGGGGCAGGGGACACAGTAAGTAGCACTTTTGGACTATTTTTCTGTCTTTGCTGGGGATATTATAGAAAGAATATGTAGAGAGTCAGACAAACTTACATCCAAATCGTTGTGTTTCAAAATGGGATAAAAGCACACACAGATCAAGTATGACAAGAAGGAAAACCTGACTGGTTGCTGGAGCTGGGCCTCACCTGTTCCCATCAACAGCTTCCAAGGGCCTCCTTTACCTGGAGTGTTGGGCTAGGGGCAGTTAATACTTTGGATCTATATCATTAAAGTTTTCCAGGTCTCTCCCACATATTCAGTTGCTTGGTTGATACCTGCAGCAGCAAACTCTGATTTCAACTTCAATCCACTCTGCACCTCGAAGTTGCCAGTAAACTGCTTTCTGACCTACACCTTCACCTCTTCCCTTGGCCCTCTGCCCAGGTGGAAGGCTCCAGGTTGGCCACACCATCCACCTGGGTGCAGCAATAGCTGTCACTACACTGGCCACAACCCTGGACTCTCCGTTAAGTCACACTTGGATACCATGAGAAGCTTTTCATAGGCAAAAAACCCTCCAAAAATCTAGCATATCAAAAAACATTTACTTTCTAGTGGGCATTGTAGTTAATCCAGAGTTTTCTGAGTATAATCAAATAGGCTTAGAAAATAGCCATGGCTTCTTTTTTAAAGTCCCTGCTCACGTTGCCCTTCACGTTAGCCCCTGTGCTGAGCTGGACGTGGGCAGCTCTGATCCTAAGTGCCTCATGGCAAACGCCTCACCTGATGAGCCTCTCATTTGTACAGTTCAGCCGCTGTATCACCTCCCAGATGATCAAGTGGTTCAGCAACTTCCGCGAGTTTTATTACATCCAAATGGAAAAATTCGCCCGGCAAGCAATTTCAGATGGCATCACCAACCCCAAAGTCCTGGTGGTTCCCCGTGATTCAGAACTTTTCCGAGCGCTCAACATGCACTACAACAAGGGAAATGACTTTGAGGTAAGACTACCCATGGGGGTCCCATGAGGTCTACAAGTGTCTTCCATGTGTGACAGGAATTTTTTTTTTTTGAGTTGGAGTCTCACTGTCGCCCATGCTGGAGGGCAGAGCCACACTCAGGGCACCGCAGCCTTAACCTGCTGGGCTCAGGCGATCCTTCTGCCTCAGCCTTCCAAGTAGCTGGAACTACAGGCATGTGCCACCACGCCCAGCTAATTTTTTGATTTATTGTAGAGATGAGGTCTTGCCAAGTTGCCCAGGCTGGTGTCAAACCCGTGGGCTCAGGTAATCCTCAGCCTTCCAAAGTGCTGGGATTATAGGCATGAGCCACCCGGCCCGGCCGTGACTGGAGTTTTATAAAAGATCCCATTCTGTGTCCATCCTTACGTTATGGAGCCAGGGAAGCCTGGGTACAATCTCTATGTCATCCACAAAGATTATGGCCTCAACAGCTTCCCTTGGGCAGCAGGTGGATGCAGCAAATCGGACAGCCAGGCTTCCTTCTAGACATAAGCAGAAGGTGGCTGATGTTACACCTTCTTAGACTTAATACTCTAACTTACTGATCTTTCTGCCTTAGTTCCAAGAGGTTCAGGACTGCATGCTTAGCTGTGACACCTAGTCTTGGCCTAGGTTTTCTGAACAATTTCTGTTCTGCTCATCAGTTTTTTGTTTTTTTTTGAGTTGGAGTCTCACTCTGTTGCCCAGACTGGAGTGCAATGGCATGCTCTCGGCTACCGCAGCCTCATCCTGCTGGGCTCTGGCGATCCTTCTGCCTCAGCCTTCCAAGTAGCTGGAACTAAAGGCACACGCTCCACGCCTGACTAATTTTTGATTTATTGTAGAGTCGAGGTTTCGCCAAGTTGCTGGGTGGCTCTCGAACCCCCGCGGGCTCAGGCAATCCACTTGCCTCAGCCTCCCAAAGTGCTGGGATTATAGGCTGAGCCACCGAGCCCGGCCCATCAGTTAGTTCTTACCTGTATTTATATATATATCAGTTTTATATGTGGGGCTTTCATGACAAGTTACCTAAGATCGTTTCTGGAAATAAAAACAAACAGTATTCAAGCTTCTCAGGCCCTTGGGGCTCTCTATGAAGGCACGCTGGTGGCACCTCAGAGGTAAAGCATCACCGACGGGTAACTCTACGTGCCACTGGTGCAGATTCCTCAAGAGATACATGTTGCCTCGTGCATAGCTGACAGCTCTCAGGCTGGCACTGTATTCTGTGGGTGCCAAGTGTGTCTGAACAGACTCTAATTCCCTCTTCTTGCTTTTCTCCCTTGGCTGAGATCATAAAGAGCAGTTTATTGACACTTCCAAGACATATGTGACAGCTGGTGGCATCCCCTGCTCAAATGCTCGGTCCAAGCCAAGCTGGATCTGGGGAACCCGCGGAACACCCCATCATTCAGGGTGTCAGCTGGGGTGAGGGTCCTGAACAGCCCCTCAACCAGCTTTGGAAGCAGGAATGTAAGCCCTTTGGATCTATCCCTGAGGGGAATCATCCCTAAGGGATGAGGTATGATAGTCACAAGCTCAGGGCATTCCTTTCCATAACAGGTACTATGCAAGAGAGCACGAAAACCCCTTCAAGTCGCAGGCTCAATTTCAGTTAAGATTTCCCCACTGACTTACTAAAGGTCACCCATTAGTGGAACTGGCTCCTCCTACAAAAGGAGTGTCCCTAGTTCACCTTCTCCCAGGGCTGTCTCACTGGAGCTGTCCTATCAAGGTCTGTGACTGCAGAAGCCAGAGCCAGTGGGGCAAGGGCGCCTTTAGCCACCACCCAAGAGGCAGGCAGCACCCGCCAGCAAGGTCTCCTTGGCACCAGGGCCTCCCAGCCTCATGTCTTTTCCTTTTTGTGGGTCTCTTTGGGAATGCAGGTCCCAGACTGCTTCTTGGAAATCACCAGCTTGACATTACAGGAGTTCTTCAGGGCTGTCTCCGCAGGGAAAGACTCAGATCCTTCCTGGAAGAAACCCATTTATAAAATTATTTCGAAACTGGACAGCGACATCCCAGAGATATTCAAATCTTCCAGCTACCCCCAGGAGCTGTTTCGGAGTTAAGATCCCACAACGTGAGGAATGACTGGCCAGGGTTTCCTGGTTTGTCTTAATACAGAGTTGAGCTGTAGTCATACAAAAAGGGCACAAGGAACCTCCCCCCCCTACAAAAAAAAAAAAAAAAACAGGTACTACTACCATTCTGGTCATTTATTTCCTTTTCCAGAGTCATCAGAAATTTAACTTTAACTATAAAATGTATCAACCAGGTGTACTGGTGTGTTGGTAGCATATTGTGAAAGGAACACAAGTTTGAAATCAGAAGACCTGAATCTCAACTTCATTTCCAGGTTTTGTGACCCTAGGGACTTCTTGGTGTTTCTGCTTCTGTAAAATGATGCTGTAAGGATGAAAAGACAGTATTTCCTAAAGTGCTCTGTGAAATTTTACTCACTACACAAATGTTAGTTTTTCTTTGGCTTTCAGATATGGCTATCTTATTTGGTGGTTGTACAAATTGCTGTTTTGATTTCAATCACCTACTTATCAAGATCCATCTACTTGCTCGACACTTTCACATGCCTGATCTTTAGGCTTTTTGCCCTGAAAGTAACTTGCCAAAGGCCCCGAGGCTCAGGCATCTAGGTGGGTAGGGACAGTCAGGTGCATGACAGAACCAACCTCTTCTGATGCCAGACTGCATACTGGACCACTTTGTGCTGCCACCCAGGAGCTCAAGCAGGACATCCTCCCCCCCCAGCCCCTACCCCAGTAAGCGTCCAGCGCTGATGGGGCACCATCATCTAACATCTCTGCCAGCATTCAGAAGCACTTCATCACCAAAAGTTTCTGCTGGACATTTCAGCAAATCCAACACAAACTCTGCAGGACTTGAGTGTTGCTCATTCACCTTCATCTGCTTTAACAGTCTGTCAACTCGACAGCCAAATAGTCTCCAACGCAGCAACTGATGCCCCAGCCTCACGTGGCAGAAGAAATGGAACTCAGACTGTGGAGGCTAGAAAGGGCTGCAGGAGTCATCTGGCCCACTCTGCTTTCTTCCGAAAGGAGGAAACTGAGGCCGACAGGAGGCTTGCAGAGGCTGTGCATGGCCTCACAGACGATGGGGAACAGGGACAAAAGCAGCATCACAGAGAAAGGGCAACTCTCCCACCCATAATGAAATTACAGTCCCTGGCTGACCCTCCACGGATGATGGAATTTGTGAAATCAACACTATTTTGCCTGTTGGCTCCATACACATTGTGACTCACTCTGAGCACATGAGCAAGACATGTGCAAAGCCAAGCGACTGCGTCCATCTCCACGGCAGCTGGAGTTGAGTCTGCAGGCGCTCTGCCCAAGGTAGTGGGGAGGGGCACTACAAGGGTGTCTGACCGCATCGGTTTATTGCTATCTCGTCTACACAAAACCATGTCCATATCCAGCTCCTCTACTCCCTTTCCAGGTGGGGCACTGGCTGGAGCAGATGAGTTAGCCCTAAACCAGTGCTAGACGGATCAGCATAAAAAGGGATGAAAGGCGACTTTCCTTTGAATTTTCTCATGCTTCCAACAGCTGAGGAGAAACAAAACAAACTTAGCCCAAACCCAAATGTACAGGTTATTTAAAGGTTGTAAGTATCCTTCGATACATCCAGTTGCACTCAGATAATCTTTGTCCTATTTTTCTCTCACAAAGTTCCCTTTACAAAAATGAAGTCTGTCAATGCTATTTTAAACATAGGTGAGCGTGGAGCACCCTGTGCAAAGTCAATCAGCTGTCTGGAGACAGCAGAAGAGCCACTATCCAGGGTGACATTACAGAGCTATTCAATACATATGGGGGGGACCCCAAAAAACTGGAGTTTATACAAATTGCATATTTACTCTTACATGTTTAAACTTCAGTCACCTTCAAAGTACTCTCTGTTTGATGCAATACATCTATTGAGATGCTTTTCCCACTGTGCAAATTTTGAACTCGTCAATTTGGATGCCTTTAGTGCTTCTGCCATTTTTTTGCTTCACCTCTTCCACATTGCCAAAAAAGTTTCCTTTTGAAGACTTTTTTCATTTGGGGAAAAAAAAAAAAGTCACTAAGGGCGAGATTGGGTGAATAGGGAGGGTGTGTTTTGGTAAAAAACTGCTGAACACTCAGCATGGTATGGGCAGGTGCATTGTCATAATGGAAGAACCAGTTACCTGCTTGACACAACTGAGGATATTTCTTCTGCAAATCATGATGCAACCTTATTACAACTTCCAGATAAAAACTTTGGTTGACTGTTTAACCTGGAAGAACAAATTCCAAGTGTACCCCAAGGGGCCTGCCCTCCAAAAGACAAGTCTGGTTTTTTTGGGAGGTCCCCTTCATACATAGGAAACAACTCCAAGTTCACATTTGCCCAATACAGAGAAGCCCTCTTTTCTGTCCCAAACCTGAAACTCATTAGTGTGTGTTTTAAAGACTGAGCCAAGTCACCTCCAGGGCAGCAAACCTTGTCTCAGGGACAGATTAGACGAAATGTGCAAGCTCAAATTGAAAACATTTGTGTACTGCAGTCTTTCTAAGAAGTGCTCCTTACCCACTGAGCAAAACACAGAAGAATGTATACATATATATACTCTGCCAACAGAAGAATTCATTTTATTCTAATTCTCTGGTTCTATACCAAGTACATCTCTTTCTGTTGGAAACACATTCTGAGTATAAGCTGAGCGGGCTAGGATGTTCTTTCAGCAGTTAAATTTTGCCAGAGAGCTTGCCAATTATTTCCATTAAGGTGTATGTGGGTGCCACTCTCTCCCAAATTAGACATGTTCATAGTCTGGTCAAATACTGTGTAATTGACTTTCAATGGTGGGCTACAGGGTGTGGACTGTGATTTATGATGGGGCACTATGGAGGAGTTAATGCTCAATTACTGATTATAAGCAGGCAGTTAATCAGCATCCCATGTAGGAAAATGTCCGTTAGGAACCTCTACTTCAAACATGGCTTCATATAGTATACAAATGCCATGCCAGACTCAAATGGTGAGAGGCCAAAGGCATCTCCTGGGCATGAAAGGGGTGCTGGACCCATTTCTTTTCCACCAGAGAAAGGGCACAGTATGAACAGCAGAGACAACACACAGCACTCTTTAATAAAGCTCCACTCAGTCCTATTATGGAGGTCCCCTTTAAACATGTTGTCTTTGTTTTCAAAATATATAATCCTCATAAAAAAATCTTAAAATTCACTTCCATAACCTAACTTTACAAGTGTCTGTCAAAAATATTTCTTTTAAAAATCTTGCCAGGTGTAGTGGCTCACATCTGTAACCCCGGCACTTTGGGAAGTCTTGGCAAGAGGATTGCCTGAGCCCAGGAGCTCAAGACCGGCTTGGGCAACTCGGCAAGACCTCTACAATAAATCAAAAAATCAGCCAAGCATAATGGCAGGTGCCTGTGGTTCCAGCTGCTTGGAAGGCTAAGATGGAGGAATCACCTGAGCCCAGCAGGTCAAGGCTGCAGTAGCCATGATCATGCCACCTCCAGGCCAGGGTGACAGCGAGACTCTGACTTGGAAAAAAAAAATCTTTATAAAATTAGCTAAAACTTCTTAAAGTTTTATATTTCAACTTTTAACTTTTCATCATCAATTCTAGCCCCTTTTGATTCTTTGCTCTGTAAAGCAGATCAGACATAGTTTGTTGATGTATGCATTCAAAACAAAACAGAAGTTTAAAAAATTCTGTGATGTTTTTACACAAACTCTGTTAAATATCTGCATAGATTTCACATAAAGCAAGATCATTTTCTCAGGACTGAGAATATCAGAAAAGGTCATGACATTTCATTGAGTGGTGGATGGGAAAGAAATAACAAACATTTTAGCTAAAATCATATAGCTCTATCAGGCTGTAATTAAACGTTGGACATGCGACTTTGAAAAGTGTTCCACAATTCTTAATTGCTTCAGGGCTTGATGCTTTAGGGGGAAAGATGAGCATGTGACAATTTGGCAAATACGTTTTTCACGAAAATGTTGTATAGAATATTCTTGGTCAGCTTCACCTTAAGTAGACACACACCCCTGTAAAGCATGAGCTCTGATGACCTACCTGGAAGTATTAATGGTACATGCTGCGGATCTGAAGTAGATCATGGTACCTACATTAAAAAATATTAGATGCAGGCCAGGCATGGTGGCTCAAGCTTGTAATCCCAGCACTTTGGGAGGCCGAGGCAAGAGGACTGCCTGAGTCCGGGGGTTCGAGACCACCCCGGACAACTTGGCAAGACCTTGTCTCTACAATAAATCAAAAAATTAGCTGGGCATGGTGGAGCATGCCTGTAGTTCCAGCTACCTGGAAGGTTGAGGTGGAAGGATGCCTGAGCCCAGCAGGTCGAGGCTGCGGTGGCCATGAATGTGCCACTGCACTCCAGCCTGGACAGCAGAGTGAGACTCCAACTCAAAAACAAAAATAAATAAATAAATGAACAAATGAAGGAAAACTGAAGGCAAGCTTCCAGAGGAAGAAGGGAATGTCTGCTGCCAGTGAAGGAGGCACAATGATGAGACAGGGGAAAGAGCCCCCAAGCCTCACCAGCTCACACATCCAGCTGTCTCTGAGGAGTCTGCCTTCCCTTTCACCAAGTCTTCTGGGGTCACTTGATTTCTGTCTCACCCCTTCATGCCCACAAACTCACGTTTGCCATTCTCAAGTTCACCAGTCACTCCTCCAGTGTTGCCCTTATTCTTCCCTTACGAACACCTTTTCTCCCCCACTTAATGATTTCTGCAGCTCAGACTCCTACCTCCTCTAAACCTGCTTCTGACCTGGAAGCTCAGCCTTAGGCAGGAACACTGTCTCTCCCCTCGCCTTTTCCCACTTTATCTTCAGGTATGGAGGCTGCTCTCCTACCCCTCTGGCCTCTCACCATCCAATCCTTTCCTGTGTAGAGTACTGTGCCAAGGGCAAGGGTTCTGCGGTGTGTTCATCCTTGGTCAACCACCTGTCAGCTGTGGATCTCTGCAAGCTACCTACTCTTCTTGACCTCAGCTTTCCCATCTGT